CTTCAAGTGTGTGGAGGAGAACACAGGTAGCAGTTAATTTACATGTGAGTTGGGAGAAGGATTGTGTTCTGAGCTTCAAGTTTGTTTTCATCAACCATTCCTTGCTTTTTGTTCATAGATGACTTTTTTTTTTCAGATTTATTTATTTATGCATACAGAACTGGGGTACAGGCCAGAGATGCGGAGGGTGAGAGGACTCATCAGATACAGAGTGGGGAGCAGAACAGGCAGATGGACGAAGTCCACTGCTGAGGGGAGCAGTGGGTGGGTCAGGAGAGGTCTGCCGCGCCATGTGGTCACCTCCGGGGCAGGCGGGGATCAAACTCGTGCGAAGTGGCTTTAGCTTCTTAGCGCTGTGCTTTAACCCGCTGCGCCACCAGGGAGGGGCCCATAGATGCCCTTTTTGTCTTCTAGTCAGTTGGACATGTTATCATAAAGGTAGATCTCATTATCATTTGTAATATTTTTAACTTTAGGTCATTTTTGTCAGATGTTATAACTATACAGGTTTGGGGGAAATTAGTGTTCCCGTGGTCTATATTTTGTGCTTTCTGTAGCTCTTTGCAGTTCCTTTCTCATTGCTATATGGGAAGCCAACCAAATTCATGAATAATTTAATAAAGCCAATTAGATCTTCAAAATTACTCTGCTGTATTCTTCTAAACACATGAAAGAACTAATTGTAAAAAATCAAAAAGATATAGAACAAAATTGTTGGGTTACCATTCATTAGTTTTCCATCCGGAGGGAACTGTTGGAACAAATTACGATTCATCTATAATAAGCACTGTGTCAGATACTGGAGGATTCCAATCACCATTAAAAAAATAAAAAAAAAAGGTCTGTGTGGCAGACCTCTCCTGTAAAGGGTCCTCCCTGGTGGCGCAGCAGGTTGGACACTGCACTGTTAGCCAGCCACAACCACATGAGTGCCAGCTCTATCCCCGCCCCGGAGGTGACCCACAGCCTGCAGCAGACCTCTCCTGACCCGCCCGCTGCTCCCCTCAGCAGTGGACTTCGTCCATCTGCCTGTTCTGCTCCCCACTCTGTCTCTGGGGAAGCCTCTCACCCCCCTGAGCCTCTGGCCTGCACCCCAGCTTTGTATGCACAAATAAATAAATAAAAAGAAATTGCAAGAAAACTTAAAAAAAAAGGTACAACTCATTTACTTTAAAGAATATCTCTTCATATGTAAAGACAGGAAAATAAAAGGTCAGTGAATTTTCTATATCTAGTTGCATACTGTGTGTTTGGGAGATAGAGCTTCCCACCTCTAGTGAAGGAAACTTAGAGTAGAAAAATTTAGAATGGGTGGTCTCAGGGACAAACACCAGAGATGGGGTGAGGGACATTTATCTTAACTAAACCAGCTATGTTGGGTTCCAGAAATCTAAAGTGGGGGGCAGACAAAATTATCAGTCAGAGGATTATCGATTTTAGAAGACCGACCCAATCTGACCCCGCGGCAATGTTTTCCACAGTAAGTCCATGTGAGAGCGCTACCTGCAGATACCTCTTGCTCTGGCGAAACGAGATCCTGTTCTTTAGAACCGTCTACCCGTGTCTACGCAGGAGCTTCCTTCCGAACCTTCCCAAAGCTGCAGTTTCTTGTCTCTTAAGAGTGCTTGTCTGGGTCTATGAGGGTGTCTCACTCTCCTTTTCTCAACAAACTTGCTGTGTGCTGCTGAATGTGAATGTCTGCTATTTCTTTCTCAGCGGAAGCCACATACGCCACACACACACCAAGCCCCGTCACCTGAAACTCAACAATCAACTCCAACACCTCAGACTCAACTAGCAATTCTCTGGCACCAGCCAAATGCCGTACAGTTCTATTCGTTGTTGACTCTACCTGTGTCAGAGAGCAGGAGGGGGCTTAACCCGGGCCCCCACGCCTGCCTGCTCCAAATGGGTTCTGTACCTGTTGCACCGGGACAAACATACTGTAGTTAGACCTTCAACAGAAAATCAGTTTTATCCCACTAATGTGCCATTGAGGTAATTAGTGTGCAACAGAGAGATGAGAACGAATGTAGTTTCCAACACCCAAAGTTCACGATCCCTCATGGTATACAGCTAACCAGGCCTGGGTTGGCCCAGTGTAGAACTGCTGAGGCCCTAAACCTGCTGAAAGGCTGAGGCACCTACAGGGACTGGGGAAGGAGCAGAATGGGCCAGGCAAACCTGAAAGGGAAAGGGCAACATCGAGACCCTCAAGACAAAGGCTGCACCCTCCTGAGGAGCCGAGGGCTCTTCGGGCCCCATCTTCTAAGAGCACTATTCAATTCTAAGTCAACTGTTGCTTTTCTCATCAAGAACCAGAGTTGCCATGACTTAGTGGAAAGCGCGGATTTCCATGCCACATGTTCCTGGGCCCAAATTCCAGGACGTCAGGGGCTTTAGTGGTCACATTTCTCGTATCGTGTTCCTTGTTTCAGAAGCACTAAAATGTGAAGTAGATGTAAAGTTATGAATACGGGCAGGCGGGACTCGAACCCATGCTGAGGTGGCTGCGGTAGCTTCCTAGTGCTGCGCTTCAACCCCTTGGGCCTCCAGGGAGGGCCCCGAGCGGGTTCTCGGAGCAGCAGTTGGCTGGTGGGTCTGTCCCCTAGTTGCAGCTGGGGCTGCCTTTCATTTCCCGTCCACTTGACGGGTGGTTGAGCTGCTGGTGAGGGAATAGGAGGCTCTTCAGTTACCGTCTAGGCGTCGTGTTATTAATCCTCTAAGGTACTTCAGAGAGGGAGCGGGACTCTTAACTCGTCACTACCCTTCTTCACCTGAATGTACTTCCTCTCTCACCACCGCCCGTAACTCCAGGTTCTGACAGAAACTGCTGAGAGGCTGCTAAGTGGTAACAGGATAAGGTGTGGATGCAGCCACTGTGGGATCGTGAGCGAGTAGGGCGAACACTGGCAGGCCGGTGGGAGGTGTTTCCTGGGAGAGCCGTGGCCCTCAGCGGCTTCGGTGCACCCAGTGTGCAGAGCACGCAGACTCTCCTTTGCTGCTCCCCAGGAACCCATGGAAGGTCCTCTGCCCTTCCCCAGCCCTCCGACCGACCTCCCACCACGGCAGCGTGGTGGGCACGCTGGGCACACCTTCTCCTGCTGGCGGGACAGGCGGCCCTGGGTGGCTGAGGTGGGCCCCAGTTAGGATGGTGCAGGTAGCTGATGCGCAGATTCTGCATCGCTGGCCTCTGTGGCTGCCACCTGTGGCCTGAATGGGAGGCTCTGGGAGCTTGGGCAGGGCAGCCTGCCTGATGCTGGACCCCCGGCTGTGGTGTGGCGGCCTGGGTGGGCACGCCTGAGCCGCGGGGCTGAGCTATCAGGCCTCAGACGCGCAGAGCCTCTGCGAGTGGACTAGAGGAAGCCCAGAGCGAAGAGCTCCAGGGGTCGTAACGCCCAGTTGCTGTCTGCCTTGCTGGCTATTAAGAAAAGTGGGGAGTGGGGGTGGGGGGCGCCAGGGAGGGCGCAGCGCTGGGAACTAGCCCAGCTGCTCAGCGTGGCAGGGTCCCTGAGTTTGATCCCCAGTCCTGGCCACGAGTGACCCACAGACTGCTCGTGACCCGCCCGCTGCTCCCCTCAGCAGTGCACTTCAGTCACTCAGCTTGTTCTGCTACCACTCTGCCTGTGGGGAAGCCTCTCACCATCCCTGCATCTCTGGCTTGCACCCCAGTTCTGTATGCATGAATAAATAATTCTTTAAAAAAAAATAATAGAACAGGGCCCTCCCTGGGGGCGCAGCGAGTTAAAGCACAGCACTGAGAAGCTAAAGCCGCTTCCGCATGAGTTCGATCCCCGCCTCCCCCGGAGGTGACCACATGGCGTGGCAGACCTCTCCTGACCCGCCCGCTGCTCCCCTCAGCAGTGTGCTTCACTGATCTGCCTGTTCTGCTCCTCGCTCTGTCTCTCGTGAAGCCTCTCACCGCCCCTGAGCCTCTGGCCTGTACCCCAGTTCTGTATGCACAAATAAATCTTTAAAAAAAAATCATAGAACAGCAAACCTGTGGGATCATGCCGAAGCCACCAAGTTCTTTCAGCTCCTGAAGCGGCAGTGACCCTCCCGGCCTGGGTAGCTGCAGACCAGATGCACACAGATGTCCTCTCTGTGTTTTTGTGTTACTCCCCGCTCTACCGGGGCCACAATTGTGGGTTAGAAGTTCCTCAGGCTTTGTTTTAGAGCAAGTATCTCTGGCGAAAATATGTGCTAGCCCACATATGGTTGGCTGAAAAGTGAACATATTTGTAAAATTTTTTGTAAGTTTGATTCTAATGCTATGTAATGCCATGTACTGAACGGATTACCTGTGCAGCTGTGCCTCCGTTTGACTTGATGGTAAAATATGTATCTGCCAGCTGTATTTAGTTTGTCAGTCAAACAGTTCTTCTTGTATGCCCATTACATTGCTATGTGATAAAGGTGTTAAGGTTGTTATTGCAGCAGAGACTTTCATTTTGTGGGAGGGCTTCCTGGAAGAAATGGCTTCTAGCCCAGGAGGACAATAGAGGATGCTGGAAAAACTGGAACAATTTGCAGAATCAAGGAGGAGCCCATGGGGGAGGATGGCAGAAATAGGGGGAGGGGAAGAGCAGGAAAGATGGGCAGAGACCTCGGTGACAGGCTGAGGTGATGGGACTTCACCTGAGGGAAGATGAGGCATTCAACATCTGCAGGAGGGAGCTGCTAAGGTCAGGTTTTACTTACAGAAAGGCCACATTAAGGCGCCTCTTGAAAACATTAAGGAGGGGAGGGAGACCACATTTTTCTTTTAGAAAGAATCACTCTTCGGAGGAGCTGGAGGAGCCGGAAGGGGTTTTATAGAGGAAAGTGACAAGATGGTTTTAAGAAGGTTAAAAAAGGTTAAATAAGTTTTAAGTAGGGAAGAGACAAAATGGGATATGCATTTTAAAAGAATCACCCTTGAGGAGCTTAAAAACACACACATCTGAGTGGGTGAGCCCTGGGGAACCAGAGGAAAGCTAGGGTCAGGAAGAGGGCCCACCATGTCGTCCATCCGCTTCCTCTGCCAGCACTGCCACCAGCCCCTGAAGCTGAGTCAGTCCCCTGCAGTGTGGAAGCTCACCTCAGCGCACTGGGAGTGGGGAGAAGCCCAGGAGGGAAGCGCTGTCTCCTGGAGAGACTCAGGTATTGGAAACATACAATATGGCGCCTCTGGCAGGACCCTCTCTGGTGGTGGCAGGGCCTCCAGGGACAGTCCCCACAGCTACATCCTGCTTGGGAAGTTTGGCTCCACAACAACTCTTCATAGCATCCAGAAGTTCACAGGGGACATTTTTGATATCCTCTCTAGTGAAAAAGATGTGGACCATCCCCTCTGTCAGAACTGTACTGACAGGCTGTTAGAGCAACTTGACACTGAAATTACTATCACGGAATCTGAGAGTCAGAGCTACAGATGCTTACTGGAGAGCAAGCAGGAAGCAGGCCCGGATGAGACGGAAGCCCTGCAGGACGCCCTGAAGGAGCTAGAGCTGGAGGAGGCGAGACTGGTCCAGGAGCTGGAGGAGGTGGAGAGGAGCCGAGACACAGCAGCAGCAGAGCTTGAGGCAGCCCAAGCTGAGACAGAGATGCTGGAGCAGCAGGAAATACTGGACCAGAGGGAGCACAGCTTTTTGCAATGGCAACATCTGGAACTGCTGGACGAGCTGAGGAGTGTGGAGAACCAGCTATGTCATGCCCAAAACCAGCAGGCCCGACTGGAGAAAACCAACATCTTCAGGGCCACCTTTGAGATCTGCGAGGACGGCCCCTTGGGCATCATCAATAACTTCCGGTTGGGCTCCCTCCCCAGGGCCCATGTGTGCTGGAGTGAGATTAACGCGGCCTGGGGACAGACAGCCTTGCTGCTCCTTGCCCTGAGCAACGCAATTGGGCTGAAGTTCCAGAGGTATCAGCTGGTCCCCCGCGGGAGCCATTCCTATCTGAAGCCTTTATCAGCAGAGGACGCTGTTGAACTGCCACTGTTTCGGGGTGGGGGGACGAGTAGGTCTGTGGATGACCAATTTGATCGGGCCATGATGGCTTTCTTGGATTGCATGCACCAGTTCAAGGAAGAGGCAGGGAAAGGCAAGGTGGGTCTCTGCTTCCCCTACAGGATTCACGTGGAGAAAGGCCTGATGGAGGAGCCTGGAGGCAGCAGAAAGTTCTATTCTATTCGAACCTACCGCAACACGGAGGAACAGTGGACCAAAGCACTCAAGCTCATGCTTATCAATTTTAAGTGGAGTCTTGACTGGGTTTCCTTAAGGTATCATCAAAAATAACTTTGGTGAATTGAAGGATGTGTTGTTAAAAATAACTCTGAGGAGCCAGAAAGAGAAAGAAAAATACCGGATGGTGTCACTCATAGCAGGAGTATAATGGACCAGGCGAGAAAATAACAAAAATAATGAACAACCATAGACCAGAGACATTCTGTGGGGGCGGAGTGGGGAATGGGATCAAAGGGGGGGAGGGAGGGAAATGCGCGGGACTATGGTGGTGGCACAGGGGTGACTTGGTGATGGGAAACCCGTGGGGATTACAATCGAGATGGAAAAAAAAATGTGCAAAATGATGTAAAAATAAACTTTGTAATAAAAAAATGATAAAAACAAAAAAAAAAAAACTCTGAGGGAGAGAGCGATTTTTTTTTTTGGCCTTAAAAGTTCCATTTGTGAAAATATTATTGACTACTGTTTTCAGAAAAACGGAAGAATGTAATGCATCTATGGTAGACCTGGAAGGTGCCATGCTAAGGAAAGTGTCAGCCAGAGAAAGACACATACTGTACGGTCTCACTTGTACATGACCAGAAAGACAGATTTCCTGTCCCGGGAGGCAGGGGCGGGGGAGGGAGTTGGGTGAAGATGGTCAAAAGGAATAGACTTGGCTATCATGAACAACATGACTGTTTTATGATATACACAAAGGTTGTTAGAAAATAAATCCTAAGGGGCCCTCCATGGTGGCCCAAGGGTATAAAGTACAGGGCTATGATGCGACCCTCAGCCACCGCAGCACGAGTTCAATTCCCAGTCAGGGAGCTGACCCACACGGTGCGGCAGACCTCTCCTGTCTGCTCCCCTCAGCTGTGTATTTCAGTCAATCTACCTGTGGCGTTCCCTACTCTGTCTCTGAATTCTCTCACACCCCCATACCCAGGACTTGGATGCAGAAATAAATAAGAAAATAAATCCAAAGTGTTTTGCTCACAAGGAGAAAAATACTGTCTTTGGGTATCTATAGAGACAATGGGCTGTTAAGTAAACATTTCATGATAAATGGAGATCAAACACAATGATGAACACTGTCAAACTTACACACTAGTGTTTGTCGATTATCTCTCAAGGAAGCTGGAAAATAAATGACATTGAAACACGCAGAGAATGTATAATTTAAAGGCGGATGGTGAGATGGCGTTACTTTGTTTATCCAGAGCAAACCAAAGTCATTGCTGTCCCCAGAGACACCTCATCCTTCTCCTTTGTATTCTTGTCCCACTGGACGAATTCAAAATGAAAGCAGAGATTAACTAAGGGATGATGAGATTACTGCCATTTTCAAGAGGGATTAAGGAATGCCAAAGGAAGGAACTAGAAATGGGGATGAGGAGGGGGGTGCTAAAGAGAAAGGTGAGGACTTTGACTTTTTGATGAGAAAATAAAAGCGTCTGGACACTGCACGTAGTCGCACTGTGGGGAAGCAGTGGCTATTCCTTTTGTTCTGATTGTATCATATAAGCCCTCTGCTTTGTCCCTTTCAGTACATTCTAAACATCTTTGATTTAGAGTGAGAAGTGTGTCACACTGGGGTGCGCTGCTATGCTGCAGTTGTCCTGGAGGTGAGTGGTGTGGACCGTACGGTGAACTGGGAATGTTTCTGCTGATGGCGCAATCCAATGGCCAGTAGGAGGAGGAGATGAACCCATACTGAGCTGAAAATTGAAAAGGAGTGCCCCAGGGGACTATTTATGCAACGTACCCAGTTTATTCACCTCCTTCTCCACTCCTCTCAGATAAATTCTCTAATCCTTACCACGGCTTTTGAGAGCTCAGGAACTCTGCCCCCCTCATCCTTCTCCTTCATACACCCCCATTCTCCCCCCAAACCCTCCCACCCCATCTCTGCCATAATTCCTTCTGTTCCAAGACATCCCTACTCTTTCCTCTCTATCCTGCGGGAGCTATTTCCTTTGTTCCAGGATCTTCTCACAGAACTATAAACTGCCTTAGAGCACTAGCTTTGGCATTCAGAGAATTAACTGGAACAAATTTCTAGTTTACTGGAACAAGTCAAATGTCATCACAAAGAGATTGTCAGATTAATTGAGAATGAGATTTTCTACAAGGTAACTGGATTAGGTTTCAAAGAGTCAATATGTTTTTAAAAATAGGCAAAATTATTTGCCCGTTGAGACAAAAATCAAATATAATATGAAATCTGAGAAAGAAAAAAGTAGCCACTGACTGCTGTCAACTGATCTGGCCAGGCCAAGCTAAGTTTTCCTCTTAAACATAAACGATTTCACAGAACACGAAAAATCAGGTCATACTGTGACTGTGATGGGGAAAAACCTAAACAAGACCCCTACACTCATGTCTGTGAATAGACAAAAACACGAACACTGCTCAACCCCCCCAAACAGCCATGTGGCCATGTTTCCTGCTTTTCTCCATTATTTCTAGGTGAAAAAAATAAAGCAATAAAAGAATTGGTCTTGCTTTTTTGAGCGTCCTCACTCCAGAGCAGACTACACACCCGTCACACTGTTGCACCAGGTTGTTCCGGGTGGGCCTCCACACAGGAGGAGTGGCACGGCAGGACACCAGGCCACCTGGATACCACCAGCAAGCGGCAGCAAACAAGCCAAGGGCCGTTTCAGCAAGCGTGTGTCCCAGACACCTCTAGATTGCCAAGAACAGACACGCAGGCTCAATGAACATGAGTTTATTTGTGTCGGTACATAAGAAAGTAAGGGACATTGGAAAGTAATTCAGTAACTACAAAGTCCAGTTTTACTGTTCAGGAATCATGACACCAGTAACCCCAGAGCAGAGATGCTGAACGAACAAGCCATCCTTACTAGAAGGAGTTGTGATTTCTGCTCTCAGGAGGTACCATTAGGGTGACCTAAGTCTTTCTAGATCCTTCTCACATATCTCATATTTACAGTCCCCAAAGGAGGGCTCTAATTGCATCGAAAGCTATTTCACAACAACGCCACTGCTGGGTATAGTTCTTTTTCTAGCCCATTCCCTGGCCTATGACAGCTTTTTCAAGTCTGAAATTCAGCTAGAAATCCTAGCGTTCTACCTCTGTCTTAAAAAATGGATAACATCATTTACATTTCCTGCTGAGGACAAAAGAATTTTTCTCTCAATGACATTTTCTCATGAAGTATTTTTCAAAGTATTTTTTAATACCATGACTTTCCTTGAATGTATGGTGTTGTACCCTTAATAATACTTTCTAGAGAAACAGGTAATCTGCATTTTGAACTAAGTGTAATTGAAATTGTATGTTAAGCTCTGATTCACATGAATATTGATGGATCATATTTACTGACTTGTTTTTAAAGAACTCCTTCCAATTAATATTGGAAAATCACATATCGTGTCAGTATTTTTAATCCTGGAAATTGAAGGCATACTCCCAAGGTCTGCTGTACACTATGGAAGTACAATATAGATTAGGGACTGTGATTATCAGTGTTTGTGTCTTAGAGGAAGCTCGGAACTGCTCCTTTTGAGAGGCAGTAGGGTCCATAAAAGAATTAGTTTTTAATACATCTGAGGTTAAAAGGAATGTGTTTGAGAGCCAGATAACACTTTTTAAAAAGAAGAACATTTCTTGTTACTGTTTATTCTCTAGAATGAAATTAAAATACATCAAAATCTTTATTTAATGTCTGACTCTCGTCAGACTCAGTCCAAAGTAAAAAACCATGAAATTGTAGGACTTAGAAACTTCTAAGAACTCAAGTTATTAATGACTACTGCAGATTCAGAAAGCTGTCCTTATTAATTAAGCCTTTGCTAAACTCTCCAATGACAGCTTGAAAAGAATATGCCTATTTATATTCCTTCTCTTTATAGGAAGGTACCCACTATGGATATAACATGCGCACTTTTTCAGAAAATGACCTTCCCTCAGATCCAAATTACTTTAACAAATCTGTAAAATTGTATTCCATGTGGGTCTTAGGAAAGGCACTGTACTAAACACTCCAACTATGTCTGACTTGAGTAGAACCTCAACTCTGTCAAATGTGAAGGCCATTTATGAATTCTAAGTAGTTGGCTTGGAAAACGTTGAAGATATTTTTTAAGCCTGAGATTCAATGTGTATTTGTTGAGTAGACATTAAGAATATTTAATCATGAATTTCAGTCTGGAAAGAAGAAAGAAGAAGTGTAAGTAGGGCAGGTAGACTTTTCTGTCATCAAGTAATACCTTGAATGCCTTTCTGTTGCTGGGCCGGAATGTAAAACCTGAATTCTACAATGGTTACTTCACTAAAAAATGATGATTTATTTATTTATTGGATACCTATACACATTGGAAACAAACTTTCTTTTTTTTATTTACTAGAAGAAGAACAGGATTCAAAGGTGCTTTGGCAGGTGATACACATTGGTCTTACTGTAGTTCACTGGATCCACTGCATTCTGCATCTTTTATGACACAGAGTGAAGACTAGAAGGTGATGGGACACTGATTTATTCCTAAGATTGAGCTGAGAAGGAAAAATTCCACAGAATGAAAAGAACCAAGCATTTGGCTATATGAAATGTTGGAGAGTTCAAATTCAGCCCTTTATCACACCAATTTATTTAGGGACATATAGATATGTCCAGGTACAACCATATCTTTCTTACATAAAGGAACACTTAAAAAATCAAGATATCCTTTATAACAGAATTAGAAGTTTAGTTGTTTAACATAGCAAAAGGAAATGCATCATAGTCTAGTGTACCTCATTTCTTTTCACCAAACTGCCAATAAAGCATAGGTGATCAAAGATCCTTTTTGGAACTCTGTAAGTACAAGACCGTCAATGAGTCAAAATCATAAGGTGTGGTCAAGAAATTTCTGAAGAATACCTACCTAGTAAGTATAAAAAGCAATATCTTCATTATTCATCCAAAGATGGGAATTTATTCAAATGGGAACGCTGGTCTATGAACCCGGGCGGACTTTAGGGCTATTAAAAAGTCTCCAAAAATTCAGATCAATAATGTAACAATGACAACTATTTGGTTGCCAACGGGAAAGAAAAGATGCTCAATCATAGCAAGTGGAAAAATGCTGAACATGGATTAATTTAGTCAATCCACCTTAGGTGAAACAGACATTACATTTATCCTTCGAAAGATTTACAAGCGAAGCATACAAGTGAAAATAAGTATAGAAAAACCAAAAAATAAAACATTCATCTGCAATATATGGGGCTGTTTATAAGAAACGGAGCTTAAAAACCAGCAGCAAAGTGTCTCTTCATTACAGAAGGTAACTGTTGCGAATGAAGGCAGCTTTTTACATTCTTTAAATACTGAACATAATGGAGAGAATTTTGACCAGAGAAGCTCACATAGATCTATCACATAGATTGGTCAAAGATAGCAAAGAAGGGGCAGAGTTTGGAATACAATTCCTGAGACATCAGGACCCCGGGTCTGGCCTTACCTAGAAATTCTTATAGTATTTTAATTCCCCCCTAATAATAATGGCTCAATAAAATTCCTAAAAATGAACAGAAACACCAAAGTGAGTTCAAGTTCCTTCAAATAAACACAGGCGGGTGGGAAACGGGCTTCTGTCAGTTCCAGTTTCAGAGAGGCACTTTTAACGCAACAGCAACTGCAGTAACAAAACGTATTTTCATAGGGCAAGATCCACCGAAATGTGATCAGACCCATTTTGATAAGAACCAATCAGAAGCGCGAGGAGGGAAACTGCCGCGCAGCTCGATGAGAGCGTGGTGCCAGCGCTAAGCAGCGGCAGCGTCTCCCTGGCCTTCTTTTCTTCCCTACTGGGTCGACTTGGACTTCTTAAAAGCATCAGTTTCATTCTGTTTTTCGCAGGACATTGGAAGGTCTTTTACAAACAGCGGGGACAGGGGAGTGTGCTTCACTCTTACTGTTGGGTACTCGAGCTTGGCATTTACAGAGCCCAACGCCAAGGTGGTCACTGCCTCGCCAGTGGTTTGTAAACTCAATGATCTGAATCAATTATCTGACAGAAGAATGGCCAGTGTGGGGACCCGAAAGCCAGCACTGTTGCTACTTGACAGAGGGAATCAATGAGTTGCTTCAGAAGTGGCCAAACTTGTGTGATTTGGCTGCTAGAAACTGCTGAAGTCAGTGACTGTGCACGTCTCAACTGTGGGGCCTCCAGGAGGTCCCGGGGGCGCCAGTCAGTCAGGCCTGTCCTCACACGGTCCATCACTGTTTCAACTCAATGCTTGAGAATGATTAAGGCACTCGATTAATGTTCGCCACACAGAAATAGAAAATGTCACTTCAAACTGTGTTGGTGTCTGACCTCCTTGCTCCCCTCCTCTTTGGAAATAACTCCTGGAATGTTCAAGGGGAGAAAACGGAGGTCAGGATTCACACTTGTCATAATTTCTGGTGTGAACATACATCAGATAAGCTGAAACCAGTGTTTTCATTTTGCTTTTTTTTTTCCCCCTCAAAAAATTAACTCCTGGGATGCTTACGGGGGAAGCTGAAAGTCAGGAGTCTGTTTTTCTTTAGCAATGTCAAAAAGTAGAAAACTGCTCCTCCCCGGGGTTCACAACGCACCCAAATGAAAAGGACAGTTTTGTAAAATTTAGAATTCTCTCAGGAGCCAGGGCCCATGGATGACCTTTTCTGCCCGGGACTATCTCCTGACTGCGCAGAAAGCCAACACTGCTCCCTGGGGTCAGTGAAGTGGCGGCCGCCTGCAGACCCTGGACAGATGGCCTTCTGGGGATCTAGGGCTTTGCGGGGTGCAAGAATCCAGACGCATTTCCTGGTGCTACCCTTCTGAGAGACCTGGACGGAAACGACAATGGTGGTCATCTCATACAGAACAAGTTCTCGCCTCCTAACATGTGAAGCCTGGTGACAGCGAAGGGGCTCACTACATCAAGCCTGCTTGTGCCGTGGCCGTGACAGACATCCAGGAGACATTGAGAACTATCGGGGAGCAGCCCTCTCGTCTCACTTTGGATGTCATTTCTAGTACTTTTTCTTTGCTCCATAGTAAGCTTGGTATGTGTGTTTCTACACCTGATTTTTGCTTTCTGTCTTTTAAAAAACCCTCTACTGGACAACACCTGAAGGAAGAACAATGATGTAAGAAAACAAATCAAAAGTAAGTTTAAAAATTCATCAACAAAATTAAATTGACTCTACTGAGATGACTGGCGGGAGAACTCTCTGCTCAAACAAGCATTAGGCACATGGGGAATATTTAAAGTTTTATGGGCTGGCCTTGATTGATGTAGAATTTCATTAAGATTTCCCCAATAATTCATAAAAAAAAAACAACCCCAAACATATCCTTCAGATATGGCTCTCTTCACTGCCTGGTGAAATATCCAGTAATACAATACTTGACAACAATAAGAAAGGATGTTTTGTGATCGCTAGATGATCAGCGATAGACATTCGACACCAAGTGAACCCACTGGCTAAGATACATTGGATTCTACATCCCTCTTTCTGGCATATTAGATATCAAGTCTGTAGAAGTTTAAAAATATATATAGAATTGATTGCTCTTCCGGCTCTGATGCAATTTATGTAATTTATGCCAAAGTGACCCAATAAAGCAAAGTTCCATTGAAACAATGACAATCCAGATCTCCAGCAGTGACTTCAAGTTGCTGTCTTCTCCTCCACACTTATAGATGGATGTTCTGCATCTGCTTCTCCTTCTCCAGTCACACCAGGAGAACCTGGTGTGGATCATGCCAGGAGACCACACAGGTTATTTCAAGAAAAAGAATGTACATCAGAATGCTTAGCATTTATATAGGTTCTTTTGATTTCAAAACAAGTTATAAATGTTTCCTACCATAACGACATCTTCACGAGGTAGGTATTTCTGTCCCTACATTACCAATAGAAACCCCAGGCCAAGGGGTGTAGGACCCCTCTGGCCCAGAGAGAGCCAGGAGCAGCCTTCAGACGGGACATGCTGATGGTGCCAGCTCCGGGCTCCGAAGAGGGCATGCCTCTCTCTTGTGTAGCGCGGTCTCCATTAATATAAGGTTAAATATTGTATAGATATAAAAGAACACACAATGACATTATAGAATAATAGTTCAGTATTCTGTTTTCTTAGTAAAATATGTTAAGCACAGTATTTAAATTGCATTTCGCTGAAAAGCATTTGGTATATTAAATAGCAGAAGGTATATTAAATAGCTTTATAAACTTTTCTGGCGAACTCTGAGCAGCATAATGAGTCTAAAGAAATTAAAATTCACTGATGCATGTCTGTCCTTGATAGTAGCATAAACTAAACAAGAATGTGAAAACTACTGTGTTTTCATTATGCAAACCTAGCAGCATACTGAATTTTAGCATGTGGCTACATAATATTTTTGAGTTCGAGAGAAGGGTTATCTATTGCTGGTTGTGGTTTTAAAATATCAGTTTGATCAGCAAAATGAAGTTTAAAGGTGAAAATTGAAGATGGCTACTTCCATTTTGTATCCATTCTGAGGAATTCTTACATTTTCAAGAGACGTTATTACTTGGAATGAGGGACTCTATCTACATAGTAAGGACATTTTGTGAAAAGAGAAATTGATTTAAAAAAAGTTACAGTATTAGAAGAATAAAGCAGGAAGACAAAAAAAAAAAAGGTATTTCTTTAAGAGTCTTGACAACTGGCATGAGAGATAAGTTGTTCATGCTTAACTGACCAAATAGGTCTTGGAATTGGTTTACAAGGGTAAATACTTGATTTGATCAGTCTCTTCTCTAGGGCAGCGTCCTCAGAGTCCCCTGTAAGTCAGCAGTTCTCAGAATGGTGTGAAAGAGCTTACCTCATGCTAAGCTGCCTAATAACTGACCGTGTGGGTCAGCAGAAAAAGTTCTAAAATGAGAAAGAAGAAGCATAAAATCTTAAAATTTGTATGTAAACATAAAAACTAACTTCCAAGCTAAAATGACATTCTCTGTCAGAAGTAACATATACAAAAGTCTCAAATTTAGTGTACACACCATGAAGATAGTAGTAGGTATTACATGTCATTCAGAGAATATTTCTTGTAAGTGTGCTTTTTTCCCCTAAAAAAAAGACATATTAAATCATTTTTCTCTCCTCAAGTCCTTTGATATAAATATGAAATACAGCCGATCCTCTCAGTTTCTCAGCCAGTTAGACACTTTTGGGGTCCTTCCCACTCAGGCTGTAGGGGGCAGTTTTATTGGACGGCGCTTTGAGTTTGACTAGGCTTGAGCAGTTTGGCTGTTTGGTGGGCTGTAAGGTTCTGGCATAAGGTGAGTACCAGTCCCTCTCAAACACGTCTTTCAGCTGTTTAATGATGCTCCGGTTGTTCCTCACATCTGCTTGGTTGATCACCAGGCCTGTGCCAGCATTCTGGGTAAAGTCATTCCCTACCCAGTCGAAATTTCCTGTAAGCGAAGGAAGGAAATCGTGGGAATTATTAAGACCCACTGGGGAATATACCCCATGTAATGAAATATGGTACAGATTCTATTAAAAAAAAAAGTAAGGTAAACACCCAGGAATAACGACAGGGAGACTGAATTGTGGTGACAGCTTAGAAGGAAAAAAAAAATCCCAAGAAGCCTTACATATGGCACATTAATATTTACATATTATTTTGGCATTTTCTTCAGCTTTGCTCAACTTGAAACTCAAAACAAGGAATCCGCTGTACTTTTTTGTAAATGTTATTTCTTATTGACAGTCACAAGACACACTAAATACAGCAACATTTAAGACATATAGGAATTAATGTAAAAAGCTTGTGAATAATTACTACCATCTCAAAGAGACAACATCTAATCCATATGTACAAATGAGGGATTCTAATTATAGTATTCAGAGGCCTTCCCATCAAAAAACCAGCCAAAGCTGAATACACAAGACACTCCTTGCTTTGCTATCAGCCAGTTCCCCGTTCCGAAACCAAAGTCCTCGGTGCAGGAATCAGGGCAGCTGCTGTGACATGGTCTCCCCAGGGTGGTTGTCTGGGGTTGGCTGGGATGTTAGTTTGCTGGGGCTGCCGTAACAAAGCACCACAAGTTGGGTGACTTAAATAACAGAAATTTATGGTTTTAAAACTGTGGGCTCTCCCTAGTGGTACAACGCATCCCTGGTTAAATCACCACATTATGAAGCTCTCCGAAGCCACTGCAGCCTGAGTTCAATCCCTCGCCAGGGAGCTGACCCACAGGGCGCGGCAGACCTCTTCTGACCCGCCCGCTGCTCCCCTCAACAGTGTACCTTGTCAGTCTGCCTGTTCTGCTCCCCAGTCTCTCTCTGGTGAATCCTCTCACCCACCACACCTCTGGCCTGCACCCCAGTTCTGAAAGCATAAATAAATAAATCTTTATAAAAACATCCTGGAGGCTAGAAGTTAAAAGAAATCAAGCTGCCGCCCCTGGTGACTCTTTACCTCTGGGCTCTCTGGCTTCTCTGCTGGCCTCTACTGTCCTCTGCCTCCTCACGCCAGTCTCCTATTAAGTGGGACAAAGGACCAAAGAATTTCTGCCAAGCATTTATGAACAGTGATCTGATGTGGCCGCTCATATATGAACTAAGCCATAGAGAGGACAATCTAGTGAAGAGCTCTTTGCCCTCAATGTCTACTGTCACTCAGCCACAAGCTGGTGCTTCCTTGGCCTGGGTGAGGGACCACGGCTGGACCAGTCCCAATCTGCAAACCCCGAAGAAACCTCCAGCCCTGGCACCTACCAATATAAGCTGCGCTGTCTGTCACCATGTACTTGTTACGATTTAATTTCAGAAAGGTGTTGTTCTTTTGTTCTTTTGTGGCACAAGCATTTTCTCTCTCCAGATCAAAAAATTTCTGAAAGACAGAAGAAAATAAGTAAGTAAAACAGGTAACTAGAAAAAAACTGTTGGCCCTGTGGAGGAGAGAAAGTGGTTATCATCCACATATCAATGAGGACTTCAAAACCCCATTTTGTTACTTCATTTAGGTGAAGTTATTTTCGTTCTTAAATGTATAGAGATGAAATGAAAGAAAATTAGCATGCTCAGCCAGACCTATCATTAACAATTTTCAGCTACAATATGAACACAAAAGTCATTCTTTCATCAGGGTGAGAGCCAGAGGATGGTGTGATTTTCATTGTATTTTTCATCAGTGTGCACTGGCATGTGAAGTCAGCTTCCGGAGCTTTCTGTGAGATGCCAATGAATGGAATGAATGTTTCTACATGTTGCCTAAATTATAAGAAATAGCAGCTCCATGTCAATGACTGGCATATTAAATTGGGAATTTGCAAAGGTGAAGAGATTTTGTCAAAGGAACAAATACTTTCCATCTAAATACTTAAGCAACTTAAAAAAAATTGCAACCTCAAACTATGAATCCTGAATTTCAATTTTAATGTGACCTGAAAAGTATCATTCCAGTTCATCTAAGGCCGGGTTGACGAGAGAGGGGTCGGCACCAGGAGTTGCCAAACTTGTGCTTCAGGATTCTATTGAAATTGGCAAATGCTTAGATAAGGTTTCAATTATGACTGAGCTCATAGGGAAACATCGCAAGGTGAAGGTCTCAAGGCCTCACCACACTGGAAAGTGTTGAACTTACTCAGAACCGCATGGAATCTTTCTGGAATGTCTCACCGCTGTGGCATCATGTATGTATAGAGGGGAAAAGTGACAGAGAGAAAAACAAGATGCTATCTGGAAACTGAAATATCACTTTAAGTGTTCCAAATTTGGGGAAATCATGAGGGTCGTCCTTCTCCTTCCCAACAAGGCTAAAAAGGGGTGATAAATTTGGTGCTCAGCAAGGTTGATGCTTTGTAGAATCCTTGAGCCAATGGGGCACAGGTCAAAAGCTACCACCGAAGACTGTCGACTGCAGGACACAGGTGAGCGCCTTTGCAAGGCCACCCTGCCACAGGCGTGGCCACTTCTGCCGGGACCACCTTGCTTTCTGGACTCCCTTTTCTCAGCTCCTGTCTTTTTGCAAAACCTGTGTTGCCTTGCAGGGCTCACATACGGTGTTTGTGGGCTCTTCAAACTGACCTAAAATCCCATGAGTGCTCATCCATCTTCATCACATGTCTGTCAAGCATGTGAATATTACAGTGACCTCTGCTGAGTAACAGACCAGGCACTCTCTTGTCCACATGCTTTGACTTTTTCCTCTTAAGGCAGATATCACTGTAAAATCATGATAGCTTGGAAAAAAGAATAAAGTCCACATCCTAATTTCAGTTAGGGATTGCAGCACAGTTTGAGGCTTTACTGAGAATCCATTTGCCTTGGCAACCAAAGATGTCTCAAAAGACAGGAAATAGCTTTATACGGAAGCTAAAATGATGGCAGAAGTCATATCCTGCTCATTGACATGCTTTTAGATAACAGTAAAGACACTTCAAAGGTGATTTCTTAATTTCTTTAACAAGTCCTCCTCCTCCTTCAGCTGATTGGGGCTACTTTCATACCTATATCTTGCAGTCTCTCTTTTTAAAAGTGTATTTATTTATGCACACAAGAACTGGGGTACAGGTCGGATGTGCAGGGTGGGAGGAGTCACCAGAGGAAGAGTGGGGAGCAGAGAAAGCATGTCTATTGAAATACATGCTGAAGGGAAAGAGGGTGACATAGGAAAGGTCTGCTGCTCCATGTGGGTCAGCTCCCTGACCAGAGATCCAACTCAGGGACTGGATTTGTGCTGCAGTAGCTGCGGAATGCTTTATAGTGCTGCTCTCTAACCCGCTGCGCCACCAGGGAGACCTTTGCAGTCTCTCTCTCTTTTTTTTTTAAAGATTTATTTATTTATTCATACAGAACTGGGGTACAGGCAGGCCAGAGATGCGGAGTGAGAGGATTCACCAGGGACAGAGTGGGGAGCAGAACAGGCAGATAGACGAAGCAGGCGGGTCAAGAGAGGTCTGCCGCGCCATGTGGTCTCCTCCCAGGCAGGCGGGGATCGAACTCATGCAGAAGTGGCTTAAGCTTCCCAGTGCTGTGCTTCAACCCACTGCGCCACCAGGGAGGGCCCTGCAGTCTCTTGATGAGTCCCCTTCATGAACACAGACCCACAGAGCTAAGGGTAGGTGACTTCTCTAACATCAGAGATTCCCTGTCTCTCTCCTAGGTCACTGTTTTTTGTTTGTTCATTTTATTAGTGGCGGAATGAAGATATGCTTTATGCAAGGTTCCAGTGCCAATTTTTTTAAAGACTGATTCCACCCACCTGTTAGATGTCGGGGCCACACCTTCTCTTGTACTTAGTCTTAGCTTAGTGCTGAGAAATACATGAACTGTCTTAAGCGAAGATTGAAGACTCTGTTTCGTGAAACATGAAACTCCCATTTTATTTGAGAATTATGACCACCAGTGTTTGAAAATCTATAATAAACTTAGTAAGCACTAGAGAAGCTAAAATGATGGATTCTACTTTTCTTGTAATTCCTTTCAAGTCTTAAATGAAAACACCTAATAGTTCACTCCGGTGATTTCATTGATGCAAGTGTCTTGCATCAAAGACACTCTCTTCTCTGCTTCTGTGGTGGCAGTCACGTCTGTATTCTAATGTTCTGACACCTGACCCCCCAAGAGCGCCCCTCTTAGGGTGAGTTTGATCGAGGAGACAGGAACCAACTTGCTATGAGCAACCAACCAATACCCTCATGGGTAGGGGTCTCACATTCTTTATTTAGCTTATTATTTTTTAAAAGATTAATTTCTTCATGCACACAAAAACTGGGTACAGGCCAGGGGGTGAGAGGATGCACCAGAGACAGATTGGGGAGCAGAACAGGCAGACTGACAAAGTACCCTGCTGAGGGGAGCAGCAGGAAGACAGGAGAGGTCTGCCGCGCCCTGTGGGTCAGCTCCCGGGTGAGGATCTAACTGAGGCTGCAGCAGTGATAGGGCTGAGACTTAACCCCTATGTCACCAGGGAGATCCCCAGAGTGTAACCTTCACTTTGGCTTTTGGGGCGTTGTTGCTGGTTTTGATTTCTATGTCATTGAATTGTGAGGTGCTATATGCAGACTTTACCTCACTGGTTTGTCCACACTTCAGCTGTGGTCTTCAAGCGGGAAGAGAGTAAAATGCATAAAATGTCCTGAATTTCACAGAACACACCCAGAATTTCAGGGTGTGATGATTCACAAACTTGCTCCTTCCTCACCTTGGAAACACCACTGCCTCAGAAACCAAACCCATAAACCTCCTTTGCCATTAAATATATCCAGAGGAGAGAATTCTGGGCAGTGCGATGAAGGTTACAGCAAGTCCACCACTTCATGTAAGTGTTTGCTCGTATTTTCTTCTCTCTGTGTTTGATTTTGGGGTATGGAGGTGCAGGGCCATACTGGAAACCATGTGGCAAAGTTGGGGGGGAACCATGTCAACTGGGGTCCCTGCCGTGAGGTGCCCTGTCCTGCCACCGAGCAGAGCGCCCGGCACAGAGCAGACAGGGTCTCTGTGCTTTTGTTGAGTGACTTCAGTAGAAGTGGGACGAAGTTGTGACCTAAACATTAGCGGGTGAATACCAGGTAATGCGTGGAGAAGAGGGCAGTTGGTAGGAGAGAGGACTTGTACAGAGGGCAGGAGGGGAGGGAGAGGGTGGCAGGGCGCCAGGAAGTCAGAGATGAGCTGAGAGTTGGTGCCTTGCAAATGCCAGCGATTCCTTCTCTTGTCTCCCTCCAGGTGTGCAGAGACAGGTTAACACGGCCTCAGGGGCTGGAGCCAGGACAGGAGCCCAGGCTGGGGGCGTCAGGACCAGGGGTCAGTGCGGGTATGTTTGAATGCCCTGTTGGTCACACCTTCAGTGGGAATAGTTGGTGAGGAGCAGGTCAAAAAAAGCAGAGAGGACCCAACAGACAGTGTGTGAAGAGGGCTAAGCAGGGAGGCACCGAACGCTTGGGTTCTCCTCCTCTTTCACATCAATTGTTTTGGAAAACTGCTTCATTCTTTTTGATTTCTCACTATAAAAATAGTTATTGTAGGGCCACAAGTTAAAGCACTGCATGATGAAGCTCTCCAAAGCCACTGCAGCACGAGTTCAATCCCCGGCCAGGGAGTGACCCAAGTGGCTCAGCAGACCTCTCCTGTCTCACCCACTGCTCCCCTCAGCAGTCTCCCCTCAGCAGGACTTCAGTCAGCCTGTTCTGCTCCCCACTCTGTCTCTGGTGAATCCTCTCACCTACCACACCTCTGGCCTGTACCCCAGTTCTGTAAGTATAAATAAATATTTAAAAAAATTGTTACCTTCAGTAAGATTCTTTCTGAAAACTTACATGTATGCATATGTTTACGGCATTCATAATTGTATGAAAAGAATAATTTTTTTAATAACACAGCCAATAAAATACTTACAACTTTCAAACTGCAGTTGACTATTTCAGTGCAAATAGCTTTAAGAGATGAAATGAAGTTAAATGTAAGGGGGTCAGTTTCCTTCCAGAAGCTTATGAGGAGTCGAACTTTAACACTTCGCAAAACTAACGCTTCTCTTATTTTCCCATCCAAGTCAGGCCAATAGGTCCTAAAGACACAAGATCCATATAGATTAAATAAAGAAAATAAGTCAGCTTTGGAAAAGAAACTTACTGAATTTTACAGAACATATTAACCTGATCATTCCTTTGTCCTGTAAGACATCAATAATTTTGTAAGAAATGTTGAAAAGTACAAGCCTCTTAAAGTTAGGGCAACGAGGGAGAATGCTTTGCTGAGATATGTCCCTGCCTAAGATGAAGTCTCCACCACCAGGATTTGTGAGTCAGGGACAGAAACAGCCTGACAACTACTCTGTGCCATCCTTTACACCAAGCTGGGCCTCAGAACTTTTGTGTGCTAAGAACAGACTTTCTAGCAAAATTCCAGTTAGGCGGCTTCAACACTCCCTCTCTTTCCATATGGCCACTCAAGCTTCTCTTCTTTGACAAATGCCCCTATCTATGTTTCTTCTCTGGATGTCTGAGCTTTCTTACATTCTTATTTCCAGATGGTTCTTAGGTTCCTCTCTCCTGACCAAGCCCCTTGCCACCTGCCCCCACAGGTTCAACCTCTTAAGTCTTTTACTTTTTTCTTCACTAACCCCAAGTCTTTCCTAAGGTCACAGCTTCTCTAAAGTCATCCTGTGTATTTTCAGCAACAATCTGCCCATTTGGTTTAGGATGTGGGTCAAACTCCTATCCCCTGATCCACACAATGTTACTTCTAAAAATGTCACCTCCTGTGTTAAACAAATACTTGCCTATCATAAGGTCAAGCTTTAAATCACGCTCTCTTCTTAGTCTGTCATTTGTAGACCTGTTTACTTATTTAAAACTTTCCCTGATTCTCTACTCACGATTCACACCAATAACATGGTATTCAGTTCCCCAACGTGTCAGACTCATAATCGTGGCCTCTGCAAAGTTCGCCTGTCTCTCTGTGACCCAGCCTCCAGCCCTTCACTTCCCCCCACTCTCTTATTTGGCCCAAGACCATGGTCCTTGCACCTGCAGCTGTCTGCCAGTTCCTCCTGGCCGCTTTCCCCGACCGGCCTAATCTCACTTCTGAGCACTGGACTTTCCTCCCTCTCCCTCCCTCTAGCTTTTGGCAAAATTGAACGCTGGATTATAATTCCCTTTGTCTATTTCTATCGTCACAATGCTGAGGACTACTGGAAAAAAAAATCACTGCAGTGCTGTGCAGGTGGAACCAATAGAGAATCGCGCTGAACCCTCAGCACCGCTCACCAATCCTGGACTTCTTTTGAATCAGTCCCAGCTTCTGTAATTATTCCAAACTTACTTCTGCCTTCACTCACAGAATGGAGGCTCCTGGTCTCTTTTGTACCTCACAGCCAGATGCATCCTTCTCTCTTTTCCTCCATGCTCAGCGGGTAAGGCAATTCCCTCTCTCTCAGACTCAAAGCTGGTCACTTGACCAGCTGTAACTGAATTTGCAGGTCATTGCTCCTTCAAAATACCCTTATTTTGATCTAGGGCTCTCCCCTTCTAGTCTCCTCTTAATTGAAAACAAACAAACAAACAAAACAAAAAAAAGCCAAAACTTTAAATCACTCCCATTCAGAGATCCTTCCCTTGATCATGTTGTCCTGTGGCTGGTGCAAAACCTCTTTTCCTTTGAACAAAGCTCCTTGATGATGCAATCTAGAACCTCTGACTTTATTTCCTCACCTGGCATTCACTCCTCAGACTATTGTCTGAGTTCTTAAAATGGGCTCACTGAGGACCTGCTGAATGGTATAAATTAGTTCGACCTGAAACGATCTCACCGTCCAGGCGGGTGTTTCCTGGGGTGTTTCCTTGCTTTAGTACCTGACCCTGGTGACCTGGCTCAAGGTGGAGGCTGAGAATTCGCTCACCTTTTGGTGCTTGTGCTAGAGATAGGCAGGTAGTCCATGACGGCGATGTACACATGCTGCTTGGCATCATCTATCACGCTGTAGATGGCGTCTATGTCAAAGCTTCTATTTTTAGGACAGAAGAGTTTAGGAGAGTTCTGGAAAGACACAAAGAGGAGACTTTTCAAGCATTAATTTTTGTCTTCTGGAATTGTTGTTGCATTTGTTTTACTAGATCTCAATGCTACTAAAGTTTTGCAAACATACTTTCAAGTGTTTTGAGATTAGGCAAAAATTTTTTCTATCCAAGTTGTATCATGAAGGTATACTAGGTCTTCATATTGTCCTTTAAGTCTGTTGGGGAGGGGATTATTATTATTATTATTTTTAAAGATTTATTTATTTGTGCATACAGAACTGGGGTTCAGGTCAGAGGCGCAGGGGCGGTGAGAAGACTCGCCAGAGACAGAGTGGGGAGCAGAACAGGCAGATGGACGAAGTCCACTGCTGAGGGGAGCAGCGGGCGGGTCAGGAGAGGTCTGCCACGCCCTGTGGGTCAGCTCCCTGGCAGGGATTGAACTCGTAAAATGACTGTGGCTAGTTTCAATACAGACAGCAAGTATTTTACCCTAGAAGCATTTTGTTTGAAAGGTGATGTGGAAATGAAAATATTCAAGACACAATCTAATAGTCTTGCTTTATTTTTTCCTAAATATTTCATTGAGTCAAGAAAAGGACTGCTAATTATTAAAAAAAAAAGTTCATACACAATTCTAGGGGAAACACTTGAGTGAGTTATTAAGATACCCCAATTCATCAGGAGAGTAAGGAAAGAAGGATATTATTTTTTCATATTGCTTGAGGTGTTTTTCATTTCACAAAAATATGGCATTTTAGATGCAATTGTTTAGAAAGGGAAATGCATACTTGGAATTTTTCATTATTTTTCTACTGGAAAGGACTAAAACCAGCGTTTCCCCAAGTTCTTGTTTTACTCAGAAACAATATGCTATGACAAGTGTAAGAGAACAAATAAGTTTAATCCCCCAAAGTTGAGTCAACAGCTCCTGAGCTGTGTGAACAGCAGCATTAGGTGCTCAGGATCTCCCACCAGATGGTCTGGAACAGCTTCCCTCACTGTGCTGTGGGAACCTGGCTCAGAGGTTCATGAGCTGGAGTGTTGGGTACCCAACCAAGAAGGAGCTGCTGAAGGCTCTCTCCCCTTCCAGTGTTCCCCCCCAGAAAGCCATCTTTGTAGCTGAGGGGCAAGAAGAGCTGTTTCTTTTGGAATGAAGGTAAACATTCAAGTATTTTAAACAGAAGAAAACCAAAGATTCTTTCCTCAGTACTCATACGTGGATGCCTTCTCCATCTGTCACTGAGATCGGTAGTTTCTGCTGCTGTGTCTCTTCTTTCCTCTTCTTCCTGATTCTGCCATCATTCAGACACTAGTGTCTTTTTCTGGGGTCCTTATGATATCGTCCTAACTCATTTCCTGATCTCGTCTCCTTGATGTTTAAAAACAAACATATGTCACTCAGGACTCCTGATGTCTTGGAAACAGATCAAGCCTGAGGAAGGCACTCACAGTTTTCTAGGAGCTGACACTCCCCTGTTCCTCTGCCTTTGTTGTTTGCTCTGTACCTCACTATCTGTCCCCAGAATTGAAAACAGGTTTTCCCACAACGATTCACTGTGGCCAAATGGCAGAAATGCCTAAATGTTCATCAACTCATCGCTGGATAACGTGGAGGAAGCAGGCAGTGAACACGGGACATGGATGTGTGGGTGAGGCTGAGGGGTACGAGTGGGCAGAGGCAGGCGGATGGGGAAGGTGTGGAGAGGTCAAGTAGTGGGTCGGGAAGGTAGGTGACAAGGGAAAGTGAGCTGGGGTTGTCGGGTTGGGCGAAGTGGTGATTTTCAGCATCAGGATGGCCCGGGAGTTGTGTCCTCACTCCGCCCTGTTGGGTAGGCCTCCTGCCTTCCAGTCTCAATCAAGCACAGCAATTCTGATTTTGTCTTTTTTAGATACTGTGGTTCCTCCAGATTTGTTTCATCAAAGAGTTCAAAAGCTAAGGATGAGTCTGACAACCTTTGTTGCAGGGCACTGAAAATAGTCCTCCCCTACAGGATAATTGTGGCAATCGAATCAGATCACACCATCGTGAGGGGGAAGAGTTCAATTTTATTATTACTGTAAATTAGGGGCAGCATATGATTAGGCAGAGAAGTGGAAACATTTGAATTTTTCAAAGGCTGAGACAAAACCCATCTAGTAAATGTTTACCCAACACAAGATCAGACTGGAACATTCCAACTTAATTAAGGGTCTTTGGTAAAATAAGAGAGGAGAAAGCTGGGAACAGCTCACCGACACAAATGCTTGAGATTTGGTTTCATTCAACTGAAGTTGCAATTTCTTTTCATTATCATAGACTCCATAGAGTCTCTTGGACCAGGTCTGAGGCACTCTGCTCTTGAATTTTAATGAACTATACAGAGCAAATATCCTTTGTAAATCTAAGACGAGGCAGCTGCAGTTGTAGAAGATGACACCGAGTTCTTTCATCTGTGAAATTAAAATTGAAAGTGTCAGTGCCATATGTGTCAGAGAAAAACACACACAAGAATGCAGGAGGAATAGTTTTTCCTAGCAGTGTTAAACAGGAATCTGAAGACACAGTCATATTCTGGCATGTAGAAATGACTAATTATGAAAAATGCTTAAAAATTTTAAGTATGACTTCTGCTGGTCTCTGCACTGAAATTCTTACAGTTCATTTCCCTGAGTTTGCATTTACTTTTCCTATCGTCTTCAGCTTTCTTTCTTTAATAATTAATTAGTGTAGGAATACTTAAATCATGCAGGAATAGAATGGTTGACTTTTGATTGTGTTCAACTGAAAGGTTTAGATCATGGATTCTAAGACTGCCTAGGTAGCAACTTGACAGCTTCCTGGTGGTGACATTTGGCAAAATATTTAATTTGGGTATCTCATTACCTTCTTTCATAAAATGGAGATAATATAGTATTTATTTTATATATTTGTTATGAGGCATATGATTATATGCAAAGGACTTCTAGAACATTGCCAATTGTCTGATAGCCGATTAGATTAGCTGTAAGGCAGCTGGGGAAAGAAACAGTTCCCTTCGAAGTCTGGCCACAGCAAGACACCAGAGGAGCACAGAAATCTGGATTTATGAAACTTTTAAAAAGCCAGAGACCAAAACCAAAAACTGTCCCTAGAGTGGGCATGAAAGTGCCTTGAAGACTGAGGCCTTTGAATTGGCAGAAAGTCATGAGAGCCTCAGAAAGCAAGAAGAAGCCAGAGGAGGCAATTTTCCTACCAGCCATACTTGGCTACAGAACAGCTCCTGCCAGGACAAGCAAATGTTCTCCCCATCCCAAAGGAAGTGTAAAGGTGAGAGTCAGCCCAGAAGGAAATCCAGGATCCCCATAAATATCAGCAACATCCAAGGATGAGCAAAATCCCACTCAGGTTTTCCTGCCCATATCTCGCTCTTTCTGGGCTTCCTTTCATCCTGTCTCAAATACATTTTGCTTCTGCTAAAAAACTTGGCTTTGAGTTCCTCTTATGCCACTAGGCCTGAAATATCCCAAAATGTGAAAACAAGCAAGTATAATCATCAACATTGCACAAGACAAGAGAACTACATCAATATAACTTTGCCACAAAGATACTCTATAGATTATTTGCACAATGCCCTTGATACACAGATGAGGGAAGAACAGCTCACATCGTTACACAAATTACTGGCTCCAAGTTAGAGATCTAGTCAGATTAAGAATTTGAATGCAGGTTTTCTGACTCTTACTCAAATGAATCCAGAAACATTCATGACACTGATTTCATTCGAGTACAAGTATTACTTTGTAAAAATGATATGTAATTTCAAGTTTAGTGAACGAAAGTGACACAGGGAAATTTTGGTCATAAGAGAACAGCACAGATAGGCCTGCTTTATGATCTAAACACCTTCCAGCAGTTGGGATCTTTGATATTGTTACAGATACACTTCCATGAATGGGAAGCACCATTTTCTTGGTACAATTCTAGAATGCCATGAACCGCTCTTCCTGAGTGGAGAAGCGGCTGGGAACGAGGGTCCGAGCCGAGGGACCAGGCACAGCTTCATGACATGGAAGACAAAGGCGCCTGCCTGTTTGCTTCTCCGGCTTTGACTTGCACCTGGGACTAGAAGACACCTGAGGTGAAGACATAATGGAGACCTGAAGAGGGACCCGCGGACTTGTGGGTACGAGGGAGACAGGGAGGATCCAGTCTCCCTCTAGCTCCTGGCAAAAATCACGTACCCATCATCTTGATTTGCACTTTAATTTTGGATTTTGGTCTGTCCTGTCCCAGGTCTCTGGGACCTGGCTAACCCCTTTCGGCTCCTCGCCAGAAGGTACTTTATACTGGGCATGTTTTGCGGCATCAGCGGCCCCTGTTCAGGCTGATGCCGTTTGGCTGGGTATTTGCCTACCAGGGGACAGGTACTGTGTGGGGTTTGATGGGAAGCTTATTTTTAGGGGTGCCCTTTCTCCTTTTCTCTCTCTGTGCACACTGCCTGTGTTCAAAATCTTTTACACCAAGTCTGCTTCTTCTCCCTCTGTGTGGTGGGTGACTGGAATCTTTTGAAAGCGTGTACCCCTTAGAAGTCTGGGGACGCTGGGTATTTCTCATTCATGCACAAATAATATTAAGCTCCTTTCCTAGCCCTTTGCTCTAGTCCCATTCTTTAAGACTCTCTCAGAATTAGGGGAGAGGTCATCCACAGTGTGAGGACTTATCTTTCATGGCCCCCCAAGAATCCCCAACATAACACACCATGAAGTTCTTTCCATGTACCCCCCCCACCAGTCTGGTATTAGATAAAGACCCATTGTGATCACAGAATTAGGTAGGTGCTAGTTATTCAGCTGGCTGAGGGGATTGTTCCTGTTTTTTTCTCTAATGCAAAACTGAAAGCAACGGGCATCCTGGTATGTCTCTCTCTGTGCATGTGGACAGGTTTGCCCGGAATTGGACGGGCCAACACATTAAAGACAATTTAAGTCTAAGAAAGGAGGTGGGCTGGGCCCTGCCTGGTGGTGCAGCGGGTTAAAGCACAGCACTACGAAGCTAAAGCCACTTCTGCATGAGTTCGATCCCAGCCCTGGAGGTGACCCACAGGGCGCCGCAGACCGCTCCTGACTGGCCCACTGCTCCCCTCAGCAGTGTGCTTCGTCCATCTGCCTGTTCTGCTCCCCGCTCTGTCTCTGGTGAAGCCTCTCAACCTTCTGCAACTCTGGCCTGTACCCCAGTTCTCTATGCATAAATAAATAAATCTTTTTTAAAAAATAGTTTTTTAAAAAAGCCATTCATTTCACTGAAAAATTAACCAAGGTACCACAATGTCTGCACATACAGTCAGTGCACATTCCCATTAAAAGGGAACTATATGGGCCCTCCCTGGTGGCTCAGCGGGTTAGGATGCAGCACTTCAGGTTAGCTGCAGCCACATCAGTGCGAGTTTGATCCCCGCCCCGGAGGTGACCCCCAGGGCGCGGCAGACCTCCCCTGACCCGCCCGCTGCTCCCTCAGCAGTGTGCTCCATCAGTCTGTCTGTTCTGCTCCCCGCTCTGTCTCTGGGGAATCCTCTCACTGCCCCTGCACCTCTGGCCTGTACCCCAGCTCTGTATGCATCAATAAATAAATCTTTAAAAAAAAAGTCTGACATTTATACTGAAGGTCAAGGGGAGACAGGCAGGAGTGGAGGTGTCTGACTAGACTGTGACTGGGGAGTCACGTTTGTGGTGTGGAGCTGGAGGGCAGGATGAAGGAACTGGGGCAGAGCATTCAGGGCCAAAACTTGGCTTAAGGACAGGCAGAGCATTACTTCTATGTCTCCTGAAGTAAAAGAATCCTCCCAAAATGGCGCTGTCTGCTAACTGAAGACAAGGACCCAGCCTGCAGGAGCTTGGCTGACAGGCTCCCAGGAATATGCAACTATTCATCTGACCCTCATGCTTTTGTGTCTATTCCAAGTTTGAAACAACACCTTGACTTCAGACTTCTAACCTCCAGACTGTGAACAACAAATTCTAGCTCTTCAAAAATATATATTTATTTATGCATCCAGAACTGGGGTACAGGCTAGAGGTGCAGGGATGAGAGGCTTCACCAGAGACAGAGCGGGGAGCAGGACAGGCAGATCGACGAAGTCCACTGCTGAGGGGAGCAGTGGGTGGGTCAGGAGGGGTCTGCTGTGCCCTGTGGGTCACTCCCCAGCCAGAGGTTGAACTTGTACTACAGTGGGCAATAGCTTCATTATATTGCACTTTAACCTGTTGTGCCACCAGAGAGGGCCCCTCTTTATTATTATTTTTTTAAGACTTTACATGAAGGTTGATTTTCTTTCAAAATTGTATTATCTTGCATTGAGGTGGTGTTAGGATACAACACAACATATATATGAGCACTATAGGCTGATAACTCTTCAGATATACGTTACCACATCACACCCACCACCAATGTATTCATAGTCTTCTAACATAATCAATGGGGCTCCCTGCTTTACTTCCCACACCACCTCCCTTTCTGATAACCCTATTTCTCTAGTCAGCTTTCTAGGGCTTATTTTAGCATGGTTTTATCTGTTCCTTTGTTTTGTTTCTTTATATACCACTTCTGAATGAAATTATCTAGGTTTCATCTTTAGCTCTTTGCTGAGTATAATCCCCTCCAACTTCATCTACGTGATCATAAATGGCAGTGAGACCTGGCATTTTCCGGTCACGAAATGTCGTGGTTGTGCAGAGGTATAGGAAGAGGTGATGCAGGCACCGTCAGAGCACACCCTCTGGCCATCCCTCTCTCGTACCTTGCTTCACTCTCTCTGCCGACTTTAGTGATTATGATCTCTTCTACAAGTAGTATACACTTAGAGGCGAGATTCTAAATCCCTAGCAAGGGTGATTAGAATCAATTTGGAAACTGATGATTTCTTACTTGAGACAAAGAACACTGTACAATCTACGTGGAGAATCAGAGCTGCCACAGCACAGGGGGAAGACCCATCGCTCTGCGGGTTTATATCCTGGATGGTTGCAAGTCAGACATGTCCAGATGACACAGACAGCTGTTCAAAGTCATTAAGGGAGACTGTCATCTCTATGCCTCAACTACTAGTGCTTGTCTATCAAGAAATACATATTTGGCATGATTTAACTAGATGTGTATATCATGTTGATCAACATTATGTGTCGTATAAAGTGCTCACATAGGTATGAACTTGGTCAATAAGATGAAGACAACAAACAAGTCCAATTCTCCAGTGAACTTTGTGCAAAATTAAATTTCCAATTAAAATTTTTGAAGATTGGCATTGCTGAATGAAAGCAGAGGACATACTAGAAGCAGGAACATTTGGTTTTTATTTTTTCAATAGAAAGAAGCATTTCACTCTCATCTGAATGAACTGGATGCTTTTGTTGAGCGTTGTCATTGCGAAAGTGCCTTTCATTGTTGCATACCATCAATCATTTTCCCCTGGCAGGGC